AGACCGGCCGGCCTGGGGTAGACGACAACTTTGCGGAGGGCGGCCGCGGGGAGGGCCCCAGCCCTACAATATTTTAAGCAAAGACAATTTTACTTTTTCCTCTCCAATGTGTATACTTTTTATATTCATTTTTGCCTTATTTTACTAGCTGTGATTTCCACTATGCTGTTGAAAGAGTGATGAAAGGGGATGTTCTTGCTTTGTTCATGATTTTAGTGGAGAAGGTGCTAGTTTTTTATCATTAAGAATAATGTTAGCTGTAGGTTTTTCATAAATATTCCTTATCAACTTGAGGAAATTACGAGTTTACTGAAAGTTTTTATCACAGGTGAAGTGGTATTAGATTTGTCAAATCTTTTTGCTTCAAATGATATGATCGTGTAATTTTTCTTTTTTAGCCTGTTGATTTGATGGAAACTACTAATTGGTTTTCAAATGTTGAACCAGCGTTTCATACCAAAGATCAATCCCTTTTGATGTGTAGTTCTTTTTGTGATTTTAAAATCCTCCATCTTTGCCAGCAACTCTGGAAAGTCTGGCTGTATACCACCCTATGTAGTATAACTTGTAAGTGATGACTTAGCACATCCTGTGAGAACTTTACTAAAGGCTTCAGTGGATCAGAGTCAGTGTCATGGGTTTACCCTCAGCCATAAAGCTCCTTCTTGTGAGCAGGACCTCCTACCTGGGTCCACCTCCTACCAAATACAACCCAAAGCTAGTCTCCTTTCTGTGACTAATCTCAAGCCATTTTCTGGCCAGCTTGGGATGGCTGTCTTTCTCTTCCCCCAAAGCCTGTTATATAAGTAATAAGCTTCATACCCTTCTGGTTTGTTGTTATGGTCTGTGTCTAGATGTACCCCTAAAGCCTCATGCAGGGATAAGTGGGGCCTTTTCAGAGGTGGCTGGATCTAGAGTGTGTGACACTGGGATTGATTCATGGTGCAATGCTAGGCTCAAGGGCACTAGGATTAAGGGTGTGAGTGCTATACACCCTATGTAGTCTGGATAAGACACAAGGGATAGAAAGAGCTGTGGTCATTCCTTGTTGCTTTGCTACCTTCTGCCCACCATGAACTGTTTCTCCTCTGTGATGCCTGTCTGCCATGGCACCCTGCCATGGAGCCAGCCAATTATGGACTGAAACTTCTTCAAACTGTGAGCTAAATAAACCTTTCCTCCTTTAACTTTGGGTGTTGGGTATTTAGTCTCAGCAATGAGAGAAAAGTAACTAAGACAAATGTGGACATAACACCCTCCCTAGTAAAGTCCATGTCTAAAGCCATTTATATCTATTCCTCTAACACATCTCTGACCTAAGATTTAATCATTTCTACTAATAACCCATTAAGTCTAATTTCTTAAAGGAAAATATTCTTGAAACTCAGGCAGAAAATAAAGCAACTTGCCTTTCCATTGCCATAGTAACTACCTGAAGAGAGGAACTGGTTGTGCAAATTATAGCACTTCATTATCGCACCCAACAAATGTTTTCCTCAAGACCTGACCATATTTTTTACAAAAAGAAAATGATCACTTGTAAAAGAAGCTACCAATTAACCCATGTTAGAAAGTGTAGCATAGTGGCTAGCACAGTGTCTTTCAAAGGGAGGCAATTTTGGCCCCAAGTAAGATGACCAATTGTCCTGGTTTGCCCAAGACTTCACTGGTTTTAATACTGAATGGCTTTCCTGGAGAACTCCTGAGTTCTAGGTAAACTAGAATATTGGTCATCCAGGGGACATTTGATAATGTTAGGAAACATTTCTGGTTGTTACTACTCAGGCGTGTGTGTGTGTGTGTGTGTATGTGTGTGTGTGTGTTTTACTGGCATTTAGGGAGCGGAGACTCTGGATGCTGTTAAACATCTTATGATAGATGAGAAAGCCCATCACAATGAAGAAGGTCCAACATGTCAGTAGGGCCAAGGTTGAGAAACACTGCTCTAGCTCTTTGCTACTTAAGCAAGGTCTTTGGACTAGCTGTGTGGGCATCATCAAGAACACTGGTAGAAATGCAGAGCTTCAGGCCCCATCCCAGATCCAGTGAGTGAGAATAGGCCAGCCCCTGCCCAATTCCCCAGGACAGTTGAACACACACAACAGCTTGAGAACCACTGTTCTGGGGCCCTTGCTGTTCACTCTCTGTAAGGGGCAGTGCACACTTAGGGGATTCCATAGGCTCAAATGGCTCCAGCTAATTACAGACACCAGTTTCTCATTGAGACAGTGTCACCACTTGGTCACCAGTGGCCTCTCTTCCCAGGCTGATCATTCTACCCAAAGGTCTGAATACACCTTTGATCTCTGACAAGGACCACACAATGTCTCAGGGTCATCTTTTGCTCTCCTGGACTCTGGGAGGAATTTTCATCTTCCTAAAGGGTCCTGGTTCATTGAGAGGAGAATAAGCTTGTGAGACCTACAGTAGGCAGTGAGGCTATACAGCTGAGCACTTGGGAAGGAGAAATGGGACACTAGGTAAGAGGTCAAGGAAATGTTTCTCTCCCTAAAACACACACATGAAGACACACATATACATACACACAAGTAACCATAACCATAGGCTCTCTAACAGAATCCTACACAGTCAAGGATGAAAAACAATGAAAGAAATAATTGAGAAAAACATAGATTCTTGCATTTTAGCCTAACACTCTTTTTTTTTTTTTTTGCCATACTGATGATTGACCCTAAGGCCTTCACTGAGTTATATTGCTATATCTCCAGTCTCTTTTATATTTTTGAATATAAAATATAAGTCCCCAAATTGCCTAGGAAGGGCACAAACTTGTGATCCTCCTGCCTCAGCCTTCCAGAGTGCTGGGATTAGAGGAGTGCATCACCACACCCAACTATCATTCCTCTCTCAGTCTCCCCCCACACCAGGCGAACCTTTGTTCAAGTGACCCACCTGCCTTAGTGTCCGAAGTAGCTCGGACTATAGGCATCATCACTGTGTGCGGCTTAACACTCTTATTTCTTTATTTTTGTGAACACCCATGTCACTTATTCTCAGTTTAGTTTTTAACTCCAGTTTTTTAAAAGTTTATGGACCACTACGTGATAATTCAATAATGTATAATCTAGAATTACAGAGTCAATGAAATATGTAAGTAGAAACAACTTTCTTAAGAATCATCAGAGGTATAGAGTTGCTTGGATCAGTGATGTTTTCAATAGCAGCCATGAGAACAGAGGGGAGATGCTACAGCAGGCCTGACCTTTGGGGTGACTGAGCTGTCAGAGAAGCTGCTGTAAGGTCCCCACTCCACCTTCTCCCTCTGTCAAGGTGGGGAATGTGAGCCAGGGTAGGCCAGCCAGAGACCCTGGCAAGCAGAGGCCTGCCAGGGCCTTTGAGCTGATGCCTATTTAAGTGGCACATCAGCACATGGAAAGAAGGTGAGATGTGGGAAGAGGAAGTGTGAGGGGCAAAAGCATGATAAATGTGCAAGTTACTCTGAGGCTGACATGCAGGGTCAGGGCAGGAGGTGGGCAAATGCACTGAAAAGGTTGGCAGGATTCCCATCAGGAAGGGTTTTGTGTGCTGTTCCAAGAAGCTCAGCCTTAGTCATGAGTGAGCAGAGACATGCAGAAAGACGGAGCACACATACCAGCCAAGGGATCTAATCTTTCTTTGATGTTACAAAAGAGGAGATTGGATTGTCTTGAGACTTTTACTGATCTGTGAATCTAAAGGTGATCTTAATTTGAGCACTCAATTAAAAAGGAGTGGCATAGGTTTGTGAAGATTGTATTTGTTCTAAAAGCTCTTAAGGTGGGGAAGTTTTGCAATGAAACTGTCCTTGCACTTCTTATTAGGATTTTTCTCTGGAAATCCTTTCTCATTGCTCTCTTTAGTTCCATGTTCTGGCTCAACTGGCCTGGCATGGTGAATGGCAGTCTCCCCCAGTGTATATATCAATTGGCATCATTCCATAGGTGGTTCCCTACTAGAGTCTTTCCTCATCCTCTTTCAGAGGGGCTTTCTCCTCCACTGTATGGTTCTCATCAACTCTGGCCACTGAATGCCTCTGAATTCCTTGTGTATTTCTTTGCATTATTTCTCTGATGTAGCTTTCTACTTTTTGAAGTTGTATGTATAGTGTAAAGAGTTCTAAGATGGCTCTTGAAGCTCTCACATATTCTTGTACATCCTGTATAGTGCCTTCCTCCTGAGTGTGTGCGGTTCAATTCATAGGTGCCACATAATCAGCATATCCACCCATGCTCTTCCTCCTTTGTCTTTTATTGAAGGAAAAGCCACCCTACCCCATGGTACCTGGCTGCCATCTTAAATTTCCCATACCCATAGTATCCTCACCTTATCAGTGACTAATTTCCCTTCTTATTTATTTCACACATCACACAAGGCAGCACAGTGGTTAAATGCAGACTCTGGCATTCTATGTGGTTCATACATAGCATGGAATATGATTCAGCCTTAAAAAGGAAGGAAATCCTGGCACATAATACAATATGGATGAACCTTGAGGACATTATATACTAAATGAAATAATTCACAAAAAGACAAATACTGCATGATTCCACTAATATGAGGTATTTAGAATAGTATCATAGAAAGAGAAAAGCAGAATGGTGGTTTCTAGGGCATAGGCATAGGGTAAAATGGGGAGTTATTACTTAATGGGCATGAAATTTTAGCTTTGCAAAATGAAAGTTTTGGTAGTGATGGTGATTGTTGACAACTCTATGATTATACTTAATACACTGAACTGTATACTCAGGAATGGTAGACAGAGTATATTTTATCACAATGTTTTGTAACAATAAAAAAATAGAAAAACATAAAAATAGTGGTAACATACAGTGAAAATATCAGCTATTATTAGTGACAAAGGAAGTCTCCAGGATATGTGCAAATATCCCAAGAGACCTGATTACAAAAAGCAGCTGAAAATATGAGCTCATGTATGTGTTTCACTGTATAATGTAAAAATAATAATAATAATAATAAAACAGGAAAAAACAAGAGTCTCATCAGTTTAGTTACTTGTTTTAATCCTTATTGTGAGTTGATTTTATCCTATAACTAGTTCAAATTCTCTCATGATTTAGGGGTTTCATGGCTAACAGACCAGTCCTTAGATGGGAGAGAACTTTTAGACACCTCCTTTCATAGTCCCTTAAATCTTAGTTTAGGTGAGAGTGCATCCTCATGGTCATTTTCCTCGGCTTGAAGTGTTAAGAGAAAGGTCAGTAGAATTCTCTCCATTCTGATAATCTAAGGAGGGGATTTGGAACTAGGAAGCATTTCATGAGCAACTTCAGGAGGAAGCATCTTCTCTAAGTTTATTTCTTGTGCAGTATCAAAGTTCTGCTCAGTCTGGTCAGCTGACTCTGAAGCAGGACTCTGTTGAGGCATTGCTGGAGTCATATCGGAAGTACCTGGCAAGGATTCTTGCTTCAAGGCCTCCTTCTCAAAAGTTCCTGTGTCTTCCTGCATGAATATGGCCTTCTTTGTGGAAATCTGTTCCTAAAAAGAAAAGAAAGAAGCAAGGAAATTACTAGTAGTTATTAAGGAATGGATAGAAGACAATATTGATAGTTTCATGCCAAGAACAAAACTCAAACAGACCTGCTCATAAAGCATAAAGCCAAACATGCTAGGATCAAAGTGATTCACCACCAATTGAACTTTCTGCCTGAACAAAACTCAACATCTTTTAAAGGAAAATAGCATAATCCAGATCCCCAGCAAAGTATCATCTATAATATTCAGTATACAAGCAAAAATTACTGGATATGTGAGAAAGTATGAAAATGTGTCATAAGCTAGAGAAAAAGTATTCAACAGAAAGAGCCCTGGGAATGACACAGGCAGGATTAGGAGACAAGGACTTAAAATAACCATAAAATATTTTCAGAAATTTAAGAGGGCAAAATAGGTCCAGGGATTTAGCTCAGTGGTTCTGCCACCTGCCTCACAAGCGCAAGGTCCTGAGTTTGATCCCTGGTACCAAAAAAAAAAAAAAAAAGAGGGCAAAATGGGCATAATAATTGAAAGTTAAGGTATATCAGGAGAGAAAATGAAAAATATAAAAAAGAACTAGATAAAAATTATAAAACTGAAGGGGAAAATATCTTAGATAAAAAAATTCATGGACATCCTACATAGGATATTGGCTACTACGAACGAAAAGGTTCAATAAACTTGAATGCAGATCAGTAGCAATTATCTAAAATGAAGCACTGAGGGGAAAAAAAGATTGAAAAAAGGATCAAAGCTTCAGTGACCTATGGGAGAATGTCTAGTAGTCTAATGTGCATGCCATTATAGTCCTTGGCTAAAGTAGGAATCCTTGGAAATTAAGCACCATTGACCACATCTATTGCATCATTGCCCAGGAGTCCCAGAGGACCATTCCACAGTGGCCCCTGCAGGGGTATGGTAGGGAGCTCTGTTCGGCAAAGCAGCACCCATGTTATGGAGACGACTGTGCTAACTTCAGTGTTGAGTCTGTGCTGCCAATACTTGTACTGATGCTCTGAAAATATATTCTAAAGGGCCAGGGTTTTAGCTCCAGTGGTTCCGCCGCCTGCCTCGCAAGCGTAAGGTCCCGAGTTCAATCCCTGGTACCAAAAGAAAAAGAAAAAGAAAAAGAAAATATATTCTAAAACATTTGTGTGATTCAGATCCCCATAAACAGTAAGGAATTGCTCTCTGCCTTAGAAATAAAATTATGATTTACTTACTCAAAGCTCCTCTACTTAATGAATAGAAATCAATCCAAGAAAACCTTTGCCAGCTTTCTTCTAGGCCTGACTCAAATGCTACCCCCTCTATGAAGCTCTTCTTGAGCTTCATAGTTGAACATGATTCCAACCAAGCCTGGCACTCTATTTCTGTTCTTCTTTAGACACGGTGACTAGACGAGTAGTATTCAATCTGGGGTGCTCATAGACTTGCCAGGACAAAATAAAAAAAAAACCTTGCAAAGCATTGAGTATTTGCAAATAAACCAATGTGTTGAAACAGCCAGCCTGGGCCTGTTTGAAACCAGGTCTTTGAGTTCTAGAGATGAAATTTGAAAGTGATCAATAGCAAGGAATAGTTTATAATTCATCTTGCATAAATCAGAAATTAGAACCAAGAATCTTGTATGATTTGATGTACCTCCACCTCTTTGCCATTTCTCTTGGAAATCAACCCACACCCTAGTGATGTAGCTATCCCTTTCCCGGTAAGCCATCTATTCAGCTTTGTTTTAGCTCACTCTTAGGTTCTCTTTATTTCCTTCTAACACAGGGAATCAGTTTCCATAACCACAGCTTGCATGTGACTCTTGTGTAAAACTGAGAACTTATGCATATTTTAGGCAAAATACAGGCTTTCATTTCCCAGGTTCTTTACAATGGTCTTGTGTCACACTGGCAAAAGAATGACATACCTGAGGTGGGTGGGCATGGTGGGACCTGCCAATAATCTTAGGATTTTGGGAGGCTAGGGTAGAAGGATCACAAATTGGATCCCAGCCTGGGTAACTTAGTGAGACCCTGTCTCAAAATAAAAAATAAAAAGTGGGCTGAAATGTAGTGAAAGCCTTGGTTTTAATCCTCAGAATATTAAAAAAGAAAGAAAAAGTGATTTACCTTTTATTTAACTAAAATTTCCTTGTGTTCTTTCCTTTTTTTTTTTTGTTGGCATTACTGAGGATTGAACCCAGGACCTTCTCACTGACCTACATCCCCAGCCCTTAACCCCACAGTTCCCTCCAGCTGTTAGGATTACAGAACTGCATGTGCTACCATGACAAGTTCATCTAAGTCTTGCTAAGGAATATTGCTACAGGGTACAGTACCTCTTCAGTGCAACACAAAAGAACAATGTAAAATACTGGTGTGAGAAAAGTTTGTTTTAATCAACCTAAACTAGCAAAACTTAATGAATTGACTGTTAATGCACAGAATATAGTAACAGTGAAGAAGATATCAGATGCCAAGCCCAACACTCTAATTAAGTGATTTAGATGTTCCCTCAAAGACTCATGCTTTCTCAGAGGTGGATGAATCTATAGTGTGTGATTGATTCATGGTGGGGCTAGGCCTGAGGGCATAAGGATTAAGGACATGAGTGCTAATCACCCTAGGTAGTCTGAATAAGATAAAAGGGGCGGAGGCTGTTAAGGCTATGGTAGCTTTGCTTCTGTCTGTCCTCCATGAACTGTTGCCCCTCTGCCATCCTGCCTTGGAGCCAGCTGATTATGGACTGAAACCTCTATGAACTGTAAGCCAAATCAATCTTTCCCCCTTTAACTTTGGGTGTTGGGTATTTTTGTCTTAGTAACAAGAGAAAAGTAACTAAGACACCAATCATGTACTTTGTAGAAAGTGTAAAATGGCAAAAGACCTTTTTTTTAGGAGATTGTAGAAAAGATTGCGGGAGATAAAAGATACGCTTGTCAGGCTGATGAATGTAGAGTTGTTTCTAACTATTCTGAGTTAATAATTTATGTCCATTATTACAACAGCATACAGGAGGCATCTGACACTTGATACATAAATAAATAAAATAATAAATACTAAATAAAATATATTTGAAGTTGTACTAATAACAACCATACTTGGTTTCTGAAAAATACTGAATAATTTTTGAAAAAGGCTCAAAGAAGCTTATATAAAAAAATTATTCCAGGTAAAAAAAATAAAAAAAAATAAAAAAAAAATCTGGTCCAGGTGTGGTGATACACACCTTAATCCTAGCTACTTGGGAGGCTGAGGCAGGAGAATTGAAAGTTAGAGGCCAGCCTGGGCAATTTAGCATGACCTTGTCTCAAAAACAATAGAAAACCAACCAACCAACCAACCAACGAAACAAACAAAAGTTTGCTGGGGATGTAGCTAAGTTGTATGTCTCTGAGTTCAATCCCCAGTACTGAAAAAAAATCTGAATTTTTAAGCCAGTATCATCAATGGTATTTCCTGAAATCTAAAATGAATCTGCCTTCTAATGTGTCCTTTTTTCATTGTCAATAAGATTGGTTTTGATATAAACGTGTAACTATGGAGGGAAAAAGGGACTAAAGAAGCCTCAATGTGCTCTGTCCAGACTGCCCTGTGGATTTCCTGGGTCTATTACTAGGCCCTAATTACTCCTACCTCTTACCTGGTGACGCTGTGCACATTTCTGTTGGATCTGATACTCTTCCTGTTTCAGCATTTCCATCATTTCCTTTTCCTTCAGGCTACAGTCATATTCCTCCTGCAACTGGATCTTCTCTTGCCTATTCTGGAGTGAAGCAAAAGTGGAATCCAGTCAGCATACGAAAAGCCTTATAAACAGTCCCTCGCACACTGGGGACAAACCTGGGATAATTAAGCCTATTGAACTTTCTCCTGTAGCTAGATTTAGCCAAATGGGAGCTCCAAACCCACCAACTCCACAACCTATCCTACTTGGTCCCCTTTTTAGTCCTCAGACTATCCACACTCTAGAGATACAAGCCAGCTCCAGTGTTCTGCCTTGGACTTCAAATTATTCCAAGAAAGCTGAGCCCTTGCCAAGAAGACCCACCACAAAAACATACCTCTTCTTTTTCTGTAGCAATTTTTCTGTAATGATAAAGCCAGTGAGCCAGGTACTCTATTGGGTCACTGGGCTGAACCTTTGCCACCTCTGCCAGTGCCTGGGACAGGCTATTTCCAAAGCACTTTTTCAAATAATCAGTTTCCATCTTGGGGACCTAGGAAATAGTAAAATAGAGACAGTATTTTACAAATGTAATCTAAATTTTATTTTATTTATTTATTTTTTATTTTTTTAGTTCTTTTTTGGTACATTTTAGGTATGCAATTCATTTACATTTATCATTGGGTGTTTGTACCTGTACGTGATATATCTTGGTTCTTATTTTTTTCCCCATTACCTGTGAATCCTTCATCCCCTCCATGTAATCTAAATTTTAAAATAGATGCATTGTAACTAACTTTGATTTATTTCAGGACAAATACAAATGTGTCTGGATTCCATCTACTTTAGTTAGCATTCTGTCACTATGACAATACCAGAGATAATCAACTGATAAGGAGGAAACATTTACTTGGCTCATGGTTTCAGAGGTTTCAGTCCATGGTTGCTTGGGCCTGTTCCTTTGGCCTGCTGTAAAGTATGAAATCATGGTGGGGAGCATATTGAGGGCAGAGACGCTTACCTCAGGTGTCTGGGAAGCAGAGAGAGAGGAAGGTGCCAGGGTCTAACAATGACTTCAAGGGGACACCCACAATGACTTAGCTTTCATTCACTAAGCCTGACTTTTTAAAGGTTCAACAAACTCCCAATATTGTCACAGGCTGGGGACTAAGTGTTTAGCATATGACCTTCAGGAAATATTCAAGACCCAAACCATAACATTCTACCCCAGCTCCCAAAGGCTCATGTCCATCTTACAGTGTAACATGCATTTCCTCCATGTTCAAGAGCTCCCAAACAGTGTTAGCACTGCTCAAAAGTCAAAGTTCTAAGTGTTCTCTAGGAATCAGGGTAAACTTTAGCTGTGAGCTCCTACAAAAATCAAAAGACCAAGTAAGTTTAAATCTAAAGTATACCTCAAAAGTCTCATGTGCTTGGAAGGTGACTGGATCATGGGACACTAAACTCATCAGTGGATTTATCCATCGATGAGTTTATAATTGAATGTGCTATGAGGAGGTGGGGCCTGGTTGGAGGTGGATCGCGGGGAACCTCACCTTGAGGGATATATTCTTACCCCTAGCTCCTCTTTTTTCTCTCTCTGCTTCCTGGGTACCAAGGGCACCTTTTCCTTTCCCATGCCCCTCTGACATCCTGTTTCTGCCTTGGAGCCTGCTGACCACAGACTGAAAATGTGAACCAAAATAAACTTTCCCTCCTTTAAAATGTGGGTTTTGGGTATCATGTTTCAGTAACAGCAAAGTGACTAAGACACTATGTTACATACTTCTAAAATACAATGGTACAGGGTAACAATTCCCATTCTAAAAAGGCGAAATAAGATAATAAGGAGAGATCAGGCCAAAGCAAGACTGAAACCTAGCAGGGAAACATTAAATCCTGTAGCTCTTTTCCCAAAGTCTGGGCCACATAATGGTTGATGTGAACTCCAAAGGGCTTGGGCAACTCTATGGTTTTGCTGGCTGCAGTCAACATGGCCTATATGGCCTCTCTTGTGGGCTAGCTCTGCTCACTGCATTCCACATCTCTAGCATTTCTAACTTTCTTGGGCCTCCACTGTAGCTTCAGCTTCACTCTCAGCTTCACACATTGCCCTATAGGGGCTGCTTACAGGGTCTCCAATTCTGCCACACATTTTGGCTTCCCATGGATTCCTTTTAAATCTGAATGAAAATGTTCATGATCCTACAACTCTTGCAATCTGCATGTCTGTAAAACTCATATCCTGTGGATGGTACTAAAGTCAGTGGCCTCTGAATGTCTGAATGGATGAACACAGGGAAACAAATACCTGAACAATAATTCCCTGGGTAGTCTTGTAATAGTAGATCACCTCAGGGTTTGAGCCTGCTACAGAAGGGGGCAGTCTTGCTGAGTCCTGAGATGCCCTCAAAGCATCTTTCTTATTCTCTTTGTGCAAAGTACTTGGCTTTTTTTTTTTTTTTAAGTGGCATTAAACTCTTTAGTGACCATGTTCTCCTTGGGCACAACTTTATTCAGGCTCCTTTTATGGTAAAGCTTCAAGTTTTTCAAATATTTCTGCTTTTCTTTTTGCTCCTGATTCTTAGTATAAATCTGGCTAACATCAGCCAGCAGGATACAGGCCACTACCTCAATGCTCTGCTGGTTGGAAGTTACCTCTGACAGATAAACGAGTTCATCACCTTTAAACTCTGACTTACACAAAATCTCAGGGAATAGACAAAATGACCAGTTCTTTCCTAGAATGTAACATGCCTGGCCTCTAATCCAATTTTCAATAAAGTTTCATTCCCACATAATATCTCATGAGCTTGGGATTTACACCTAGCATTCCTATCAGCATTTTGGTCTTCTGAGCCCTTATCAGAATTGTTCATCAATTTGTGCTTACATCATCCCAAGCTTTTCTAGTCTCCTTCTCCAAGCATTTATAAATTCCTCCTCCAAACCATTTCCAAAGGCTTCTGAACCATATCATCAAGGATAATCACAACAATGACCATACTTCTTGGTATCAATTTTCTTTCTTAGCAAGCTTTCTATCACTGTGACAAATCAACTTATAAGTGGAAAGATTTGTTTTTGGTTCATGGCTTCAGAGGTTTCAGTCCATGCTTGGTTTCATTGCTTTGGACCTGTGATGAAGCCTCCAGCATGGTGGCAAATGTGGAGCAAAGTTGCTCATCACATGGTAGCTAAGAAGCAAAGAGAGAAATAGGAAGGGGCCAGGGTCCCACAGTCCCCTTCAAGAATACATCCCCAATGATTTAATGTCCTTCCACTAGAAATCACCTCTTAAAGGTCTCACTATCTCCCAATACTGCCACAGGCTGGTGAGCAAGCCTTTTACCACATGGCTTTTGTGGGATATTTGAGCTCCAAACCATAATACTACCCTTGTCAAAAGAACCAATGAATATATACTTGCCAATAATGCCCATATTCAAGCGAACTTTTTTCTAAAGCTCTCCAGTTGGATTAGGTCAGACAATAGATTTCAGGGGTCATCAGGTGTGAGAGGAGCTTGATGAACAGGTGGTTAGGGGTGGCTAAGGCTTTTACCTTTCCCCACACATTTCTAATCTTGAGTAGACAGAAAATGACTGAGCAGGTGTGGCCCTAAACATCCAGCAAGTTGTGCTATTGTGAGGTTGGAAACTATAGTCTATGACATAGATAAAAGTTTACTAGCATCCATGGAAATGCTCTGGGGAAGAGAGAGAGGAAAATGTTGGGCCCTTTAGCCACTGCTAACACAGTATTTCACTCTAGTGCTTAAGCAAGAAGCTACTTAGAATATGTTGGTACCCCCAGATTAACTACTAATCAAATTTCAAGAGAGGGAGGTAATGTAGCCCAAATTAGGATGTTAATTTAGGAGTGACAGGAATGCAGAGTACTCAGAACACAGATTCCAAGTTCAAACAGACCAAGTTCCAGTACCGGAGGCTGCCACTTATAGCTGTGTGATCTTCAGCAAGTTGCTTGGTCTCTCTGAGACTTGGTTAAACATGTGAGAAAAACTCATTAGATGAGGAAAAACTAGATTATGTGCCTCATAATAATTAGATGATTAGTAGAAATTGTAAACAACTGAAAGGCTCTTAGCCTGGCCCACAGTAAAATTTTAATAAATGTTAACTATTATGGTGAAAGATTTTTCCATGAAATGGCTTAGCATGTGGGCTATTCCCGACCAACTCCAAATTCCTGAAGTTTACATATCTTTAGCTCCAAGCAATTTTAGTAACTAACAGAGGTACAGATGTAGCCTTAATATTTTCTGGAGGCATTTTTCAGTTTGTTCCCTCTCTGGACTTCTGTCCTTTATTTTTTCACTTAAAGAAGAAAAGACAGGTAGACATCAATAGAAAAAAAAAGCATGTATTTCCTGGCTATCACCACTGCAAGGCCTCAGAGGCCCTGATGCTTCAGCAGTAGTAGCACTCTGAACCTACAAAACTTACACTAAAAAGCCTTCATCACCTAAAAGCAATCAGAGTTCCTTAAAGAAATGACTGATTCCAAAGCTGGGGCAGAAAAAGTCTAATTCTCCTGGATTATTTTGTTGTGCCAGAAAGTAGGAGAGTTCTAAAAAATAAAATGGTTAGGGACATAGAAGCCTTCTTAAAAGCTAGCTGAAAGTAGGTTACTTTGGCCATTAAAATGAATGACTATAAAAGAACTGTCAATCTGAATAACAAAAATTCTTCAGCAATTAAGTTCATTTGAGAGTAGCATCACAATGGAAGAATGCATGTCATAGTAAACTATGTGTGCACTCAAGGAGGCTGAGGCAAGGGGAAGGTATTAAGGGAAACAAGAGGAAGATTACGTCAGATACTTTGAAGTAACATTCTTTGGCTATCATGATGGTGCATCAGCCCATGCTTAAATAGGGAGTTGTTGGGCAGATGTCCTCACAGAAGTTTGTACTGTGAAGGTTGTTTTCTTAGTCATGCTCCTGTCACTGGGACAAAATACACAATACCCATGACTAAAGAAAAAGAGGTTTATTTTGGCTCATGGTTTCAGTCTGTAGGTCACTGGCTTCAAGGCAGAAACAGGATGACAACAGGACATGGTAGAGGAAAAGTTGCTCAACCCATGGCAGGCAGGAAGCAGAACAAGAAGGGAAAAACAAGGTAGGGGGATAGAACCTTCCAGGCCACACCCCCAGGGACCCACCTCCAACCAGGCCCCATCTCCTAAAAGCACATTTAGCTACTTAACTCATCAATGGATGAATCTGCTGATTAGTATAGCATGATCCAATCCTCTTCCAAACACATGAGACTTTTGAGGAACATTTTAGATCTAAACCATAACACTTGTGGTGGCCTTTGTGTGAGGCTGTGGTTCTGCCAGAATCTTGTGAAAGTTCTTGTTACCAGGTATACATGAAGGAGATCCCCACCATCATAATCTCACAGCTTTATTGATGGATGGATTGTTAGGACTTGGCATGAGTGGCCCCATTTTGATTATGACAACTTTCACAGATTATAACTTATAGAACACAATACATATCCATGAATACATATGGGAACAAATAAGTAGATAAACAGAGGGAAAGATATAGTTCACATCCCTAGTTACAAAGGGAAATACAAAAATTTGACAGTGGCAAGATCAGGCAAACACAACCTTAGCCAAGTGATCAAACTAGACATTACCAATAAAGGAACAAAGTGACATCACTTGCCTCCTGATGGAATCTCCTCTTTATGGAAGATAATATCTTTCTGTTCAAATGCAAAATTGGGTCTAATTGAAACACCATACAAAGTCAAGCTGAGAAAGTCTGCAACTGACTTATGAAAAAAAATAAGAAGAAAGATGATTTTTTTCTTAGTCTTCTTGACTAAGCAGCCTGTTATGGCTTGTGTATCTAGATGTCTCCCTGCCAAAAGCCTCATGTGGTCATAGGTGGGGCTTTTGGGAGGCAGCTGGATTTAGGGTGTGTGATGCTGGGATTAAGGGTGTGGGTAAGGAAGGTCCACCCTGGGTGTAGGTGTTGTGGCCTGGATGGGATAAAAGGGAAAGGTGGGCTGATTGCTACTGCTGCTGCTTACTGCCTTCTGCCTGATACGCCATGGACTATTTCTCCTCTGACATGCTCCTCTGCCATGCCACTCTGCCTTGGAGCTAGCTGACTATGAATTGAACCTCTACAAACTGTGAGCCAAAATAAACCTTTCCTCCTTTAACTTTGACTGTTGAGTATTTTGTCTCAGCAACAAGAAAAGTAAGTGAGACACAGCCATAAAAATACATTTAGTACACAATCCTAGATTGCATCTGGGCTAGAAAAAAAGAATTTTATAGAGTATATTGTTGGTAAAATTGGATACATTAAATGCATATTGTGGTTTATGATCAAGATTAACTTTCTTGATTTTGAATAAGTGAAATCTGAGTAAGAGAATGACCTTGTTCTAAGGCTGAATAACAGCTCCCAAAGATGTCCATATCCTAATACCTGAGACCTATGGATATGTTACTGTCCTATATAGCAAAAGGGACTGAGAAGATGTGATTAAATTAAGGATGCTGAGATGAGATGTGGAATATTCAAGCAGATACAGTGCAATCACAAGGGTCTTTATAAGAGGGACACATTAAGGTCAGACAGGGAAGGCAAAGTGGTGTCAGATCAGAGGGAGAATTGGTATGTGACTCAAAGCCACCAGCCGCTTCTAAAAGTAGAAAAGGGCAAGGAAGTGGTCTTTAGAAGGAACTGGCCCTGTCTTTGTAAGATGCATTTTGGATTTCTGACCTCAAGATCTACAGTGTAGTTTACTAGTGTTTAAAGCACTAAATTCAGGGTAGCGGTGGAGGGTAGGGATTTGGTTGAGCAGAGACTCTGCCCATGTGGCCCTGTGGAATACAAGGACCTCAATAAACAATTTTTTTTTTTTTTTAATCCTCAGTCCATACTTCTTTGTGTTTCTGCGAATCCAGCGGTGCCCTCTCTGGGGCTTAGTACTCCACCAGCATTTATTGAGGCTTCTCCTGCTGGGCAATGCTGTATTTGTAAGCTGGAACAACTACAGGGGTAAAATGCACACAAGAGTTGGCCAAGCAATCGCTAGGGCCCCGCGAAGGAGGGTGGGGGCGCCAGAGTTGGCTCTGAAAAGAATGAGGCAGAGGTCAGCAGCAAGAAGCCATCCCTCCACCTCTCCCAGGGCAAGCCGACCGGCCCGCCAGGCTCCATTGTTAGTTTCCGCGTCTCCCTCGCAGCTTCTGTGCTGCGAATCCCACACATCACCCGCCGCACCCTGGCCCTCGCGCGCGCCCCTCCCAAGGCAGGCTCTGAGCTCACCCTCCGAACGCCCTTGCCACCACCGAGCTCCAACCCCGTCTCTCGAGCGCGCGCTCGTTGCCTAGCACCGGGACGCAGCTCGCTGTGGGGAGTTGCGCATGCGTCGGGTGCGCACACTGAAGGAATCGGTCGCTTTCTCAGAGCTGTGCCAGTCGTTTCGCTGGGTTCCCTCGGGTACAGGCGGTTTTCACGGTTGGACCTTGAGAGTCGCGTAGCTCCTACCCGGGAGGCCAGGGAGGGTTGGTTCGCGCCTGGGAACTCCGTGGGCTGGCCCATCCTTGGCCGGCTCTCCTCCTCCTCTTCCCTGAGCCTTCCTTCAGCTCCAGGACTTCGGCCCCTCGCACCCTTAGGGGTTAGGGGGCGGGGTAGACTGTTCTGCGGACCCGGATAGGAAATCCCTAAACGCCCCAGGTCCAAGGCAGCCAAACAAAATACAGCTAACCCCTGGGCGCCTGTAACCCTAGCGACTCAGGAGGCGGAGGGTGGGAGATCGCCAAGTTTGAGGCCACCTGGGCTGCCGCTAGGGTTGTAACACAGTGTTGGAGCGCCCTTGGTACTAGCCCTTGATCGCTAGTACCTCAAAAATTGCATGCCTAATAAATTTGCATTTCAGATAAAGGGGTTACGTTTTAGTACAAATATAGAAGACAGTTATTCATTGCTTCTCTGAAGTATAAATTTAGCTTGACATGCTGTATTTTTATTTGTTACATCTGGTACCCCTCCCTGGGTTCTCTTGTGGCAGCTCGGTCAGCAAGGCAGCTGGGACTGGAAGGAGCTTTGCTTGTGGGGAGCCAAGATGACTACTGGTGTATATAAAAAACAGTACTTGTCTCTAATCTCAGTACTAGGAGGCTGAGGCAGGAGGATCATAAGTGTGAGCATAGCCTGGGCGATTTAGAGGTTTAGCGAGACCTTGTCTCAAAATAAAAAATAAAAGAAGAGCTGGGGATGTAGCTCAGTGTGAAGGCCCTCAGTTCAATCTCCAGTTCAAAGCAACCACCACCACCACCACCACCACAACAGGAGGGGTGAATATTGTCAACGTTTTGTGGACAGATGTTAATGAGATGGCTGAGTACCCTCTCTTGGGTCCCACTGATAATCTGAGACAGACATCAAGTACCCCCAAATTCGAGACAGACATCAATTTGCTGGAGACTGAGGCCAGAGGTTTTCCCTGAGGAACCACTGTTCCTTTCCCAAGTTTCATCCTCTGGAGCAGCAGCAGGAATCGCTTCCTTTTTTATGTTACTCACTGCAAATAACAATGAGATGTACTTGTAGCAGTTCTGTCTTTAAAAGATGTCCCAAGGAAAAGGCTTCCAAAGCCAGTGGCAAGAATGCTTTTTTTCTCTGTGTGGTTAGGGGACCAATGCCAACTTGAGAGGAAGTTAGTTCATTTGTGCCAGTTTGTCCTCAGCTGTTGGAATCTTTAGGATATCTTTATGTGCTTGCACATACACTTTCCTTTCCCCAGTGCTGACACTGATACAGAAGGTGGCATAGATGAGTTCTGCACTGTGCTTTTCTGCCTGCACTCTGTGTCCTAAGGGCCACTCTCATCTTTAGAGAGTGTCTGCATTCTCTTTATGTCTGCAGTCTATGTGGTGTATCTCATTAATTCTCTCTTCATGAACCTCCAGCTGCTGCTGCAGTTTGACTGTGGTAAATAACAGTGCAAATTACCATGTACATATGCCATTTCATATTGTTGCAAATGTAATTTTGAGAGAAGGTTCAAGAAGTCAGATTGGTGGATCAAAGGGCAAATAGTTATGGGAGTCTCTCAGTTTTGCCAAACTCCCTTCCAAAGAGGTTGTACCGGGTTATTATCCCATCACCATCACATGGTGAAGAGCAGCATGGGGGCCTAGGGACGAACCCCAGGATGTTGGTTTTTCTGAAATTCCAAGCAAAATTCTGGGTGCATTTTGTCCCAGGACTCATCGAGACCCTGGCATTCTGTACCCTGTAGCTGCCAAAGTTCCTTCTTTTTGCCTTGTGAATTTTGTTCCTTCACTCTGTGGACAAGAATTCTCTGACTTGGTTAGATCCTGTAGTTGTCTGCTCTTCATAACACTTCAATTTTAATTTTACATTTATTTATTTATTTATTTTTTGGTACCAGGGATCAAACTCGGGTCCTTGTGCTTGTGAGGCAGGCGGCAGAACCACTGAACTAAATCCCTGGCCCAATTTTACATTTATTGATTGGAATATGTGATTAATATGTCTTCCCTTTTCACCAGAAGCTCCATGAAGGCAGAGACTGCTTTTATTTGAGTTCAGGTTGCTGTAACAAGTTACTAAAGACTGTATGGCCTTCACCTGGATTTATTTCTCACAGTTCTGGAGCTGGGAAGGCCGAGGTATTGGCATGTGTGGTGTCTGTTAAGACCTCACTTTTTAGTTTTCACATAGCTCATGTGGAGGAAAACAGGTGGAAGCTCTTTGTCTCTTTCTATAAGGGCACTAATCCCATTCATGAAGCCTCCACCCTCATGACCTAATTATCCCCCAAAGACCCTGTGACCTAATGCCATCACAGTGGGAGTTAGGATTTTAAGATATGAATGGGGGTTGCACGGGCATTCAGTCAGTAAGAATTTTTTGTTCCCAGTACCTATCTGTTGTGGTACCTGACATAGATACCCAGTGTATATCTGTTGCAAATTGAAACACTGTATCAGAAACTCAGAAGAGTCTGGATTTCATAAAATATTAAGGGTAACTTGAAAGTGATCTGTTTTTTTATTTTTCAAAGAACATGAGATAAAGTTGTTACATTTTTTTCCAAAAGTTTGGTCTAAGATTATTGCTGTTTATCTTTATAACTGCAAAAGACAAGGATGTTAACTGCGAAAGTGTAGAAACTCATTCCATGCCACCGTGGAGAGACAGCTGTGTTAGCCCAGTGATTACAACACTCCCCAAGGACATAGGGGAGCTGGTATCTTGGAGGGAGAACAAGCATGGACAAACACACACACACACACACACACACACACACACAATTATCAGTCAGGGAGACATGGGCCGTGTGAGATGCTTGGAGGAGATGCTGCCTTGAGGTGCCTGGGGACACTCAGGGAAGGAGAAATGGTCCGTGTGTTGCAGGTGAGGGGTACTTTCCAATTTGAGAGAGGGGGTGGGATCATCATGATGTGTGAGAATCAGAGTTGGCCAAGTTCAAGGTGTGATCAGCAGAATGGTGAGATGTGCAGTGGGATGGGAGTGCCAGGGTGTACTGGGGACAGGAGAGATGGCTGCAGGTGAATCTGAAAAGGAACTGGGGGCCAGATCCTGAGCAGCCTCATAGGTTGTTCTGCAGAAGCTGAATTTTTTTTCTCTGACCTTGGAAATGCATGGATTTTTAAAAAGAGGTAGACTGTAGACGTGGTTTGTAAACGTGGTTTACATGGCTTAGGAGGAACATCTTAGTAGAATCATTAGAACAGGGCTCTACAATCAAGAGGTGCATCCCAACCCTATCTGCTTCATCTGCCAGCCATGTGTTCTGCTCTGTTCACTCAGGCGCTTTGTGGCTGAATTTGCTCATTGGGACAGTAGGCACCATGGCGCCTGGTCGTTCAAGTGTGTTGTGAGCGTTAAATGACATAAGCACTGGTTGGCACTAAGTCATCTTACAGTCAATAATAATCCCTTTCTCTCTTGAACTGGACCTACGAGTCCTTCTGGATTTTGAAACTATTTTAGTTGTAATCACTTTCAAGAAACCCTTTTGGAAACTGAAGTTTCCTGGGCCAGCTTGCTTGTGCCATGACTGGTGATGCTTTGTTGGCCTCAATGGACTTTACTTATTGTGCCTTACTTAAAAACTTCCTGAACTAATACAAAATGGTTATTTTTAGAAGATTTTATTTAGGAGCTAGAGATGGAGTCAGCCTATCTTCAAAAGCACCTTGGGACGTGTCTAATTCAGGGTCTTGCAGAAGTGGCAAGAGTTCACCCTGTGGATCCAAGAGAATATTTAGCTTTGTGGATTTACAAGTATAAGGAAAATGTGACTATGGAAGAGCTGGTAAGTATGATTTCCTTTTAGGAAATCAGAAGAAAATATTAGTTTAACACATTTGCCTTGTTTTTTAAAGTTCTATATCCTTTCTTTCTATTATAAAAATGTTTGTTGTACAAAATCTTAGACAATATAAAAAGTAGAAATATGAAAAGAAGTCAAAGAAGACTTCTATTTAGATGTTTAGGAATTTTCCTCTCTGTGTAGTTTTTTCCACACATTTATAGTGTTCCTTTTCACATGCTTGTTAGCCATACTGAAAATATGTGTATATGGTACTAAGGATCGAACTCAAGACCTTGGGATTGCTAGGCAGGTGGCAGAACCACTGAGCTAAATCCCCAGCCTGAAAGTATATTTTTAATTTTGTGCTTTTTCTTCACATAAAATACACATTTCCTCAAATGATTGTGTAATTTCCAAATGGATAGACTAATTTGCATAAATTACAGTCTATAATTTGCTTTTCCTATTGCTAGTGATTAAGATATTTTTAAGGTTGTGTTCATAGATGGTTTGGTTGCTGACGGGTCATGTGCTATTGTTTTTAAACAACGCTAGAGACAGAAGGAAATGGCCCAGTTGGAGCATGAAAGAACATTGGCACTGGTGGAGCAGGAATTGCTGGAGAAGCTCAGAGCTGAGGAGCTCTTGTTTCAGCAGGTGAGGCATTGGAGGGAGGGTTCAGGGAACCCTGGAATTAGTGGTGTCAGCCTCAGTGGGCACAGCCTAAAGGCTGAAAACTCCCCAGCTCTGGTCACTTAGGTGCAGCTTTGTTCTCTCCTCATCTTTATGTACACAGGCAGCTTCTTTGCTGCACAAGCAGCTGTGATGGGGTAAGAGGAAACCAGTGTCCTGTGACAGAAGCCCAGGGGTGAGGGTGTTCAGTGGGGCTGAGTGCTCAACCTTATCTGCTGCTGAACTGAGAAGAGCTTATTCAAGGCTGCTGGTAATCTTGGCAGGAGCAGTGGTGTGGGTGTTGGGGCAGTGGGTAAAGCAGGAGAGATGGTGAATGAGCAGAAGGAAGACTGAGGGGGGAAAAGGAGATGTTTCTGTTTCTTAGAAGAGGTAGACTATTGAGATGTTCTGTAAAATATGGCTTTCATGGCTTAGGAGGAGCATTTTAAGAGTTAGGAGGGTGGGGCTCTGAAATCAACACATGGGTCCTGACCTTATCTCCTTTGGATGGGGAGGGGGTGACATTAGGAAATAGAGAAGATGGTTCATACAGTCAGATTTTCACAGACACAGAGGAAATGAAGTCTAGACACAGGTTAAGCAGGTGGAGGTAGCAGGGCCTTTGTTTGATTGCAACTGAGTGATAGAGGAGAAGATCTAAATGTGTAGGTTTCATGACACAAACTTGTTGCTAGTTTCTTTAGGAATCAGGAACCCTGATATCTGCAACAGTGAGGGGGTGAGGTAGGAGAAGTGAGGAGAGTGGTGAAGATTTGCAGTGGTGGTTTAGGGGAGTGGAAGGGAAAGTTGACCAAAACATTTTAGGTTGAACATCTATAACTTGAAAAAACCCTAAATCCAAAATTCTCCACAATCTGAAATATTTTAGATGTTAGCATAAAAGAAGTAGAAAATTCCATATCATTAAACTTTGTTTCATAAACAAAATTATTAAAAATATTGTATAAATTGCCTTCTGGCTGTGTATAAAGAATATGTGAAACACACTAGACTTTACTCTTATTGTGGTGGCAAATTTCATGTTTAGATTTGAGTTCCATCTCCAGGATGCCTTTTCATGTACATGCAAATATTTCCCCTCCCCCTAAATCCCATATCTGAAATACTTCTGGTCCCAAGCATTTTGGATAAGGGATGCTCAACTTTTACTTGGTAGCAACTGGAGATCAAGCACTCAATGTCTGGTTTGGTTGTGTGTCTATATGTTTTTTTCCTTACATAGACCTAGGTATGTGAGAGAAAATGTGGATGAGGCTGACTCTTTGACCAAAGTAGGGCTGGGGCAGCAGGACTGGGAAGCTGCAGATGGTGGTAAGGGAATGATTGCAGGGATAGGTTCTGCCATTTATACTGAATAAGAGACAGGTCCTTAATTTACTTAATTAATACAGACTTACTAACTTTGTTTGGTTGTAACTGAAGGATGGAGGAGAGGATGGCTCAGAGAGTGAATTTAAAGAGAATTTCTGACTTAAATGGAGGTCATTTTTATAGTTCTACCATAAGGATAATTCACTTTAGAGTCTCCACTCAAGCCTACATATTTAAAAGAGGGGAAGAACCCTACTATTTGGAGGTATGGAAAAAAGAAAAATATAGACCTAGTAAATAGTTTCTCTGCCTAATATCCTATCCTTGAGACTCAGATGGAAACTTCCAGGTACTAAGGTGCCTAGAAGAATAGGGCTGTTGAAAACTTGGCTGGTGCTTAGTCTTTATTATCAGTTAGTTATTTGGCATATTCTCCAGGAAAGATGGTGCATGTAGAACTGGGTGTCAAACTGCCACCTAGACAGGCAAGACATCTCCTGCTGCAACCTTGAGTGAAGATCTGTCTCTCTTCTTACAACTCCTACAGCTCGAATCTGTCCCCTGTCTATCAGAAAAAAAGAGAATTCTCAGCATCTCTCTTTTCCCAGAGCAATTACATCCCAGTGGGCAGACACTTAACTCTCTTGGCCCCATCTACTTTATTTTACTTAAATAAAATTTGGCAGTACAAGAAATCAAAGTCAGGCATAGTGGACATTTCTCTAGCCTTATCCTGTTGACCAGTACAATTAATTTGTGCATTTCACCGAAAGCATCGTATTGAGGGGTGGAATATGGAATACTGTTCTGCAGACTATTTTATGGCCAATTAAGAAAGTGAATTGGCAGAAAGAGATAGGAGAGAGAAAGAGGTCAGCAGAGAAAGGTTTAGGTGAGAGCACCACCTACAGTCTGTTCCAGCTGCCACACTGCTGTTGCAGGGCAAAACCAGTCACAATGTTTAAGTAAATGAACATGGCTGTGTTCCAATAAAACTTTATTGGCAGATGCTCAAATGTGAATTTCATACCATTTCATGCATCGTGAAATATTATTCTTTTGATTTTCTTCAATCATTTAAAAATGTGAAAACCATTCTTTGCTCATGAGCTGTACAAAAGCAAAGAGGAATCAGACTTGCCCCACAGGATGTATTGCTGACCCTATTCTAGTGTGACAGGTTTGTAGAGTTGGGACCAAATATATTGTCATCTATCTATGGTTTCAGATTGGCATTTCAAGGTTTTTCTCACCAACTGTTTTGCATCCAAGGATTGGTGTGTGAAGACCTATCTATGCTTATCTGAAAACACTGCAATTTCATTTGTAGCTTCAAGGAAAACAGAGAAAATGACTTGATTTGATTTGGTACGGACTGTGCCTTCTATAATGAGCAATTAAGGATGCTTCCCTTTTTATTTTATACTTTGAGAAATATTTGTAGAAGCTTAAGTGTTAATGTGGCAGTGACCATTTATTTAAGTTTCTGAAATTTAGGTGCATATAAACAAAATGATCCTGGGGCATTTAGGAGCAACAGAATTAATTCCTCCCGATTAATCTATCTGTAATATGGCATATGTATTTCTGAATATTCAGCAGCAGCTGGCATTACAGCTGGAGTTGGAAATGCAAGAAAGAGAGAGACAGAGAATAGAAGAACTTGGGAAAGTGCAGGAACAATTAGAGAAGGTAATTTGAAGTTGTGTAAATGTTTGTTTGTTTAACACCTTTTAGAATTCTCAAACTGTTTCATCTGGTTGTCGTAGTAGAAAGGCCACTTGATTCGTAGTCTAAAGACCTGTCACACATTAGCTGTGTGACTTACAGAAGTTTTGTAACCTTTTCAGTCTCAGATTACCTGTTTCAAAAATAAGAATAGTGGTGTAATATTATGAGCTATATCTCACTGGATTGGTGTGGGTGCAAATCGCACATGTGAAACTGCCTTGTAAGCAGGAAAGTTCTCTAATTGTGACTGTCAACATTTTAGTCAAGAGCTAGCTTTTCCTCATTATGGTAGTTGATGCCCAAGGTTAAGTTCTTTGTGATACTGAGGATGTTTTGATCTCTGAGATATCACTATGTCTCCTCTCTTCATGTTAGATGAATTAATAAGAGTTTGTATTTTCAAAACATATTTTCACATCTTTTGTTAAAATAAACTATGAAAATAACATTACAAGAAAACCCATATTCACCAATTATATCCATGTGGTGTCCCATTTCCATTTGACCAATATTTCCTTGTAGCTGAAAAGTATGTATAATACATACCAAACTTCTAAGTGACTGAGTTTATAGCTGCTATCTCTTACTCACCTGTTACTTTCCTTTTTTTTTTTGGTACTGGGGACTGAACTTGGGTGCTTGTGCTTGTGCAGCAGGTGGCAAAATGAGTGAGCTAAATCCCCAGCCCTGTTACTCTCCTTATTATTATTTTTTATTTATGTATTAATTGGTACATTTTAGGTATACAATACATTTACATTTATCATTGGGTGTTTGTACCCGAACATGATGTATCTTAGTTATTTTTCCCCCACCACCATTCCCTATTTACATAGTCTTTGTTTCCATTTTTTTTCTTTCTTTCTCATAATTTTTCCTTTCCCTTCTTCCCATTCCCCTTCCCCTCCTACCACCCCTACCCCTTTGGACCTTTTCTTATTTCAAATTATCAATTATTTCTTTTAATCATTTTCATCCTTATTTACACTTTCAGTTTCTCATACTAGAGATACTATTCGATATTTACACATGTGTGTCCTATTTATTTCACTTAAGAGTATGGCCTCAATATGCATCCATTTAGCTATAAATGAC